GTTAAAAGAGTGGGTGTATATATTTGGGTTTATAATAGTTATGTCGTAAGAAAAGTGATTGTGTAATATTATAGAGATTCGTTTTACATGTCATAATTTTTTTTTTTTTTTGCTTTAAAAAGTGTGAGCTCCACAAAATATTATTATGTGTGTAGGAAACTTTTTTGTATCATGTTAAACAACGAACACAAACTCCTATATATATTTATAAGCATGATCAATAACATAACAAATTAGATACAGGGGGTTCAAATCAAATCTTCCTATTTCTACGTCATCCAGTGTCATATCACACAACCATTGTTATCCGTAGCGATATCCATCTCTCTCTAATAAATTGATTCCTAATTCATAAATAATCATAATTATAATTATATATATACCTCTCCCTTAATTATAAAGTAATGAAAAAAAAAACACATGGAGAGAGAATGAAGACATTTTAGCCAAATATGAGAGCTAGTGCAGGACAATTTAGAGGTAATATTTATATAAAAAAAAGAGCTATGTCGTTGTAAACGATAAATATAATGCATGCTACAACCACCAAAACAAAAATATAATGTATGGAGCAGCTATGCGTCTTTTCTAATTTGTCCGGTACTGCAGAAGAGAATAACGTAACATAAATATTCGTCTTAACTGCAGCAGGAAGCAAACAGCTTGAATTTTTACTTTTTTCTCTGTTGAAAACTAATTTAATTATTATAAACTTTCATGACATATATGCTAATTCATTGGGTTCTAAAATTCAATAAATCTCCTTACCATAAAAAAAGTTCAATAAATCTATCCAATTTTTTTTCAATATTTCAGATAAAATTATATTTTAGTACCAATTTGATAGTTATTTAATTGCAATACCCCATTTGATATTTTCAATCTTAAATTATAGATAAAAATACAAGGTTAGGGTAAACAAAATTCTGTATTGCTACTTTATTATAATTATGCATTATTGTCATTATTTTGCAAGTCTATACCTTACTTGTTTTGCGCCGGGACCATGCCAACAAGTTCACCTATTTAAGAGGGATGTTTTCTTATAATCACATTTAAAAAAAAAAATGCATGGTGTATGTATCTAGCTTTGAGTTCAAAGGGTGGGTTTTCTTCGAATAAATAATATGTAATCTTATTGTAAAATTTTCGTTGAGGGTCATTGTTTACCGTAACCTTAAAATGAAGAGAGTTTCCCATCACTTTAAACTTTTATGTAAAACAAAACTCATGTTTATTAAATAAATATGCTCCCAAATCATCTTAAGCACACACTTGGTACATTTCCGTTTGGTACATGGCTTATCTTAGGATTTCCGGGAAAATAAATTTTTATAAATTTTAAATTTTCAGATATTATCGTAAACTGAATGTAAAAATCATATTTTTGAAAATTGAGATTCCCGGACAAAAAAAAAAATTTCTCCTGTACCAAACGCCCCAAAGTGTAGCCCAAGGTTTGAACTTAGTAATCAAGGTAAAGAACCAATCACCTAACGTACAAGCGATTTTAGAAGTAGTAATTAAGGGGGTGCTTTCATTCAACTCACTATTTTACTTAGAATTATTTACTTTTTTGTTACCATTATTAAATACCTTTAAATTTCTTTTCTTTTTTTAGATACAACTATACAAGTGTGAATTGAACACATAACTTAATACAACATACTCAAACCTCTCACCACTAGACCAATCCTAGTGACTTCCTTTATAATTTCTTTCTCATAATCTTCTTGTTTATTTATTTTTTTTGTTTGGTAAGCATTCTTCTTAATTTAATTGTGAGAAAATGTTGTCAGCGTGAAACCCAAAAATGAATTGGTCGATATAAGAGGTGCATCCTTAAAATTATTGGGAGGAAGTCTTAACTTCTATTGACACAAAAACGTAAATAAAGGGGGTGAACGAGAACTTTTGATGTGAAATATATATATATATATATATATATATATATATATATATATATATATATACAAAGTATTAATTTCTTCCAGTAAAGTACATCTACAAAGGTTCTGTTCAACTTTCTGTAGTACGTCCATTGGGCGGCATACAAGAGATACAATCCAATTAGAATCTTTTTGGGACTATCCTCGCTAAAACGTCTAAACAACTAATTCAATTTAAAAGTTTAAGTTGTTAGGTGAGACTATATTAATAATTTTATATATCTCAACATGTCTTCTCATATAAGAGTTCATTGGACTTGAAGGGTGGACAATGCACAGGTCACCTACCTGTGCGAAAAAAGAAATTCCACTAGAAAAAAAGTGAGGGACGATGAAGATCAAACTCGGTACTAAACAAAACGTAAAAGAAAACAAAATAGCCATTGCATCACTCAGTAACAGAGGAGGGGATGCTAAAAAAAGAGAGTAGCAAAAGCATATATACTTAAAGGCTAATAGTTTTCTGATTCAGTAAGACATAACTATTATTTTCTAAAAACTCATTTGTGCAGGTGGGTCCACTTTCAAGAGAAGAGAAAAATAAAATAAAGTGAGACTCATTTTAAATTTGTGTGTGTAGAAAATACATTCTATCTTATGTAACATAAGAATAATAAACCCTGTACTTAATATTATTATAATCTTCTACAGCGTTTTCTAGGTACATATACATGATAAATTTAGAGTGGCATTTTGGCCATTATAAAGTTAAAAAATACTTTATTTTTTTATTTTTGTTTCTTGGTTCAATAACTTATAAGCAACTCTAAGTTCTGATTGCTTGTCATGAAAATTAGGGTATCATTTAGACCATTGCTTAGCCTAAATAAATGGAAAGGAAACGTTAGTCATATCTTCAATTATTGAGCAAGGTTTCCCCAATATTCGCTTTTGGTTTTCTAGAAAAAAAAATATATAACTTTTTTTTTTGGAAAGTCTTATTTTCTTTCCCAGCCTCTTAGTTAACTAGCCCGAGATTGTCTTGTAAGAATTGTTAGAATATTTAAGTGTGAACTGTAAAGAAGTCTCACACTCGGTTAAAAATGAATCAAGTAATTAAGAATTATATAAGTGTAAAAAGACAAATAGATCTACACCTTTGAGTTGAGATGTGGTTTCAGTCCACTTATTATAATTTGTCATTTGATTCATTGATGGATGTATCCCTTGCACCATTCTTAACAAGAATGACACTACCAAACAAATATGATCCATTGATTGGCTTCTCGAAAATTAACTTGAAGATATCTTTATCCACTCATTTTCTGATCAGTTCATCAAACCAAATTCTTTCGTAGCAAATACGTACGTAGTTAATTAATGTGAAATAATAAAGTGTTAATTTGAGCTTTATTGTAAGAGTAGTGTTAGTGTTCTATTATATGTACTTAAAAAATGGTTAAAATACCAAATGGTGGTAGCTCAGTTGGCGCATGGAAGCTGAGCAGGTGGGGTGAGAGCATGTGTTCGAATCCTTCCAGTACCACTTTTGGGAGGGGTTTAAAGCCTTAATCCTGGACCCGCTCCGAATCGGATTAATTGCGAAGCGATGAACCGATTGGAATATTTAAAAAAAAAAATGGTTAAAACAAAAAGAAAAATTAGAGTGAACTAGTTTAGTCACTTGAAAATGTTTGGTACACCGTCATTTTCATTTAACTAGGCGTCTCAATGTTCTAACTTACATACTTTGATGCGTGGAATCGAAATCTACAATATCAATTCAAAATATATTTATAAAGGAATATTATATTATTTCACAAATATCAAACATTTCATATATTGAAGAGCAGTCTCGAATTATTTGATCAATTGAAAAATGAAAAATACTATGTTGTTAATTTTTTATTTTTTATTTTTTTTATCAAAATCAGTCAATGTTGTCATTGACCCTTGAATAGATAACCGGTACCTTCTAGCTGAATATTGACAATTTTTTAATGATTAGCATATTTGTAAATGTCAAATATTTGTAAATGTCAAATATGGTGTTAACATTGCATGAAATACACTTCAGATCATGCTATGAATAGACTGTAACGCCTAAGAAGAATGTCCCTTTCCTATGTTTAAACGGTTGTTTTCCATGACTGAAGAGCTATATCTTCCACGTCAAACTTAAAAAAAAATATAATGTATTAATTATTTTTTTAATTGGATGTCAAAGCACAAATAAAGGTTAAGAATTAAAGAGAAAAAAATCAGCTTTTCAATAAATATATATCTATGCAAATGTTAAACAAACCAATCCTTCAAAGAGAAAATTTTAAATCATTATCTGTGTGGTGTATTTACATCTAAATAATAGTATATATCACACAAAAGTTCAATGACAGTATATATATATATACCCTGAACCATCTAGATTTCATATCAACATTTTCCTTCACAATTTCTTTATTTATTTACAAAATAAGCTAATGTAGTTGTGAATTACCAAGTTTTAAAATTACATATGTTGTCATTGAACAGTGAACATATGGGGACATACCCATATGCTTATGATCTGCGCATATAATAATAATGTATGCAATAATAATAATAATATATACTTTAAATGGACACATGAAGACCCCTTATGTTTTCAGGACAAAGAAAACTAAATGGCACAACTTTGCTGGATCTCTCAGAGAGATTTCAGTAAGATTTCTTCATTTGAGTCTCTACTCTATATCCACCTCACATCTTATGCAAGACATTTCAGGACCCACATAAGTAATTTTCTAAGAATTTGCTGCATTGCTTCCCTCTCACAAAGAAAATGCAGGAAAAACGGGAACTTTGAGTATTGAAACTGGTTTCTAGTTAATTGACTCGTGTTGGAAGCCAACCATAAAAAACCAAAAAAGTTAGCTATACTCAGAGACATTCAAGATAGAGTACCAACCACTTCTTCACCTTCCACCCCAACTCTTTTCCCTAAGCCATCTATCTAAAGCTCCTAATTCCATGCTAAACTTCATGTAGCTTTCAATTCCCTTCATAGATATATAACATCACTTCATCCACCTTCTTCTCTTCTCTAATTCCTTCCTTTAATTCCCTGAATTAATGGAGGAGGGTCAATGTTTGATGTGGACTAATAAGAGGAAGTACTCTGTGAGCTCTAATCTTACTTCACCAACTAGTTACCCTTCATCTTATGATGATGACTCATGGGAAGAACAAGCTTTTGCAAAAGATGCATCTGGGTCTGGTTGCACATGGCCACCAAGATCATATTCTTGTAGCTTTTGCAGAAGAGAGTTCAGGTCAGCACAGGCTTTAGGTGGCCATATGAATGTTCATAGAAGGGATAGAGCAAGATTAAAACAACCATCTAGCCCCCAAAATGAAATTCTTAGTCATGATCTTGAAACTCACCCCCACAATGTTCCAGTTCAAAATTCTTTTACCTCTTTGGGTTTACCATCCCCATCTTCTCTTAGTGGATTGGTTTATAATACTAACCCTAATATTTCTGATCCTTCTCATGTTCTTTCTTCAACTTCTAAGAAGAATTGCAAAGAGAAAACCCTGATTCCACTTTATAATTCTTCTATTTTACATGAGAATTCCCCTGCAAATTCCTCTAAATCCTGGTCAAATTCAGCTGAAGAGTGCAGATTATATTCACATAAGTTCAACCCTGAAGCTGGTGTTGAGAAAGTTTCAAAAGAATTGGATTCTGGGAGTAAGGGGGATAATGATAAACTTGACATGGCTGTGAGCTTGAACTTGTTTGTGTGTCGAGCTCACCCACCTGTGCAGTTTGAGACTAAAGAGGAAGATACATGTTTCAAGAAGAGGAAAATAGATGCTTCATCTCTTCCATTCTTTTCAAAATCAAGTTCAGGTGATAAGCATCATATGCAGTCACAGATGTGTGAATTTGTACCTTGCTCCATAGAAGAGCTAGATCTGGAGCTAAGGCTTGGGTACGGGCCCAAGGTATAGTAGCATAGAATACCAAGTGTTGATACATATAAATTTGTTCTCTTATGTTTTCATTCTCGTTGCTTGTTTACTTCTTTTAATACCTTGTAAGGAAGCTTTTGATGTTTGTTTGGATCTATGAAAATAACAATATTGCAATCACAGACAAGCTTGTATACTTCCTCATCATAGATAGAGTGGTCAAATGATGATAGAATGTTTTGAATAACAGAATGCATGACATTGTAATTGATGGTTCCATCGATTTTCACTAGGATCATGTAAATGCATAAAATACATATATACGATGGGAGTCTCTGTGGCTAGAATCTTTACTTTGAAATTGTACAATGTATTCTAGTATCATCCGAGAAATTTTAACTTACGCCTTTCTAATTAGTTTACATTGCACCATGCAATTTAATTTCTTTGTATTTATGCATAATAAAACATCTTTCTTGTGCCATAAAATGGTCTTTATGCAAGAAAGTTTTTAAAATTTAGAAAGGAACATAAAATGCTCTTATAATCTATTTCAATAGTTCATTATTTTACATGTGGGAAACTGTACTTGAAGTTGAAATCTCAACTTCGAGATTGTATATATGCAAATGCTAGTTTGAAAATTTGAAGATATATATATATATATATATATATATATATTGTATTGTGTGTGGGAATTTTCTTGTATGCTCCTGGAAGAAGCCTTCCAAGGAGCATATTTACCATTGATGCATGTTACTTTCACTGGTTAGGACATGCTTGTGGGTTTTAAGGGGTGAATGATATAACTATGAACTGCATGGAATATTGTTTGCCCTTTTTCCTATTCAGTACCTAACTGACATTCCATCAGACAAATAATAAAAGTTACTTAACTAACCCATAAAATATACTGTTTGAGCTTTTCAATGCCATATAAAGTCAGATACATCCCAACATTGATTCCCTTTTCATTTGGTTTATTGTCATCAGATTTGTTGCAGTTAGTTTCCCTTTACACATAAAACCATTTGCTTGCATTCTCTCTCCCACTTTTTTTCTTTTCTCTTCATCAAAGCACCCTCTCCCTTCTAAATCCTTCCAAAAATTGCCACCTACTCCGGAATCAATCCATTTAAAATAATTAGCTATGATATTATGCTTTGCATTTTTATAATCACAAAAGAGAATATTATCCGCACAAGAGTCATAGGCGCTAGCAATGCAATTTTGTTTCTTCTTTTGTATGTACGAATTAGGCCAACACATGCTTAATGACAACCCCTGAATTATAAAGAATGAAACGTGAACTCCAACTCCCCTATGAACCCTAACCTTAGGTAGCCAAGTCTGGTGCATAAATCGCTGCAGGACACAAGGCAATCATGCTAGGTACTTCATTCTGATTGTTACCTATAATGGGAATTTGATGGAACACCCTTTGACTTTAAATGGTTTTTTTACCTAGCAAAGTCACTGAAATACAGCTTTCACATACACACACACACACATATTGAGGGTTTATTGGCATTTTCTATTTTCAATTTGAGTGTTTGTTTTTCTTAATTTTCTTTTGATATATATTTTTTTTTTTGGTAAACTTCTTTTGATGTTTTGATTAGGTAATATTTGTGTTAATTTTCACGTATTTTAATTAATTTATTCATTTAATTTTTATTTTTTTAGTACAAAGAAGGGAGAGAGCCCAAAATTATTCATTTAATTTGTACATATTATAAGCGCGAGTCTCTGAGTAGCGACAAAATTATTCTTATATACTAACTTCCTTCATCTCTATCCTTACAAAGTCAAGAGTACTGTGTACTGGACTTTGTCCTATTAAGTAAAAGCATTTTACTGATAGTAAAATCAAGATATTTACAAAAGTACTTCTTATAACTTAAGTTAACAGAATTGATATAATTAAAATTCAAACCTACAATTATATGACTACTAATACATCAAGTATTTGTCTGGTCCTGTGTTAAGTCAATATTGTGCTTTTGTTTTTCTCTATTTTGAATGTGACATAAGGAAAGGAAGGGAAATAAATGATGATGATATATATATATATATGGAAAAAATATTTATACAGTTATTTTAGATAAAAAAAATTTACCGCTACTCAAAAACTACGTCATTTTAATTAATGAAGGGTGTTTTAGTAAAATGAATATGATAAAAAAATAAGCAAAATAAGAAAAAAAACTCTTCAACGACATAGTTTTTTGATAGCTGTAGATAACCTTATCTAAAGTGGCTGTAAAAATGTTTATCCCTATATCCATATATGGGGCAGGATATTCTTACACCAGTGTAAGAGTTAGAAGTCTTACACTCAATCTTGACCATTGATCCACTTATATCTAATGGCTCACATTACTAAAATATTTGAGCCTTTATTACAAAAATAAAATAAAATATTTGAGCCTTTAAATATAAATGAGATCAACAGACAAGATTAAGAGTGTAACTTACACTGGTGTAAAATGATCCTTACCATATATATATATATATATATATATATATATATATATATATATATATATATATATATATATAGGGATATGATCAACTTACACCGGTGTAAGAATAATAAATCTTACACCAAATCTTAACTGTTGATTTCTGTGCATCCAATGGTTGAGATTTATTGGAAATTAAAAATTAATTAATGAGTGAGACCTAATAAATCTTAACCATTAGATGTAGGAAATCAATAGTTAAGATTTGGTGTAAGATTTATTATTCTTACACCAGTGTAAGATGATCCTGCCCCATATATATATATATATATATATATATATATATATATATATATGGGAAAAACATTTCTCAAGCAGATTGAAATAGGTTTATCTCCGGCCACCCCAAAACTACGTCATTTTATTTATTTATTTCTCTATATTAATTGATTTATCTTTGAATGGTTATGATTTAGTAGCCGGAGATAAAATTATTTCAAGTAACTTATATATATATATATATATTTGGGGCAAGATATTCTTACACCAGTGTAAGAGTTAGAAGTCTTACACTCAATCTTGACCATTGATTTACTTGAATCCTATGGCTCACATTACTAAAATATTTGAGCCCTTAAATATAAATGAGATCAACGGATAAAATTAAGAGTGTAACTTACACTGGTGTAAAATGATCCTAATCCTATATATATATATATATATATATATATATATATATATATATATATATATATATATATATAGAGACAGGATCCTTTGACACCGGTGTCAAAGAAAAAGTTTGACACCTCATCTGAGAGCCGTTAGATTAAAAAAAATCAACGATTCTGATTTGTAAGCATGTGACACCATTGATTTTTTTTAATCTAACGGCTCTCAGATGAGGTGTCAAACTTTTCTTTGACACTGGTGTCAAAGGATCCTGCCTCTATATATATATATATATATATATATATATGGGTTTGCATCTATCATGTCACATGACACAAAAAGGTTTTCTATACACACAAAATTTTGTGGGCCCGCACTTTTTGAAGCAAAAAAAAAAAAGAACTATGGCACGCAAAACGAATCTCTATAACATTACACAATCACTTTTCCTATAACATAACTCTTATAAAACTTATATATATATATATATATATATATATATATATATATATATATATATATATATATAGAGAGAGAGAGAGGGGGGAAAACAAGGTGCTATACGTATGTAACTCAGTAAAGAGCGTTTAAAAGCGATTGGTTGGGGTTGTGAGTTGGGTAGGTCTGATATAAATTAGAGAGGTATCAGTGAAGTTTTGGGGGCAACTGCAGAAGTGCACATGGGCAGACACTGTCGTCTCTCTGTTCAATTGAATGAGGGTTGAAGAATACGACCATAGAATGACAAGGGGATTGGGATATTATTCTCTGGAACTTGCGTGGGTAATTCTATGTTCTGCAATGCTTTGTTTAATTCCAAATCTTTGTTTTGGTGAATCAGAATTTGGAAAGGGAAATTCCAGAGCATTGGGAGTTGGTACTTTGTCTACGAAATTGTTTTGGCAGCTATGAATATAAAATTGCATGCGAGCAAGTTACTAAGAATATATTATTATTATTATGGGATAGGATCCTTTGACACCACTGTCAAATCTAAAGTTTGACACCTCTTCTGAGAGCTGTTAGATCAAAAAAGATCAATGGTGTCACATGCTTACAAATTAGAGTCGTTGATCTGTTTTGATCTAACGGCTCTCAGATGAGGTGTCAAACTTCAAATTTGACACCGGTGTCAAACTTCAAATTTGACACTGGTGTCAAAGGATCCTGCCCCTATTATTATTATAACTCAAGAGATATCCCCATTTAATCACCTCTAAAAACCTTTTCTATGTTAGGAAATTGAATCTCATTAGACAAAACAATAACAACAAATAAAGAAAATTGAAAACAATAAATGGAACTCAAAGATTTAACGTGGAAAAATACTCAAACAAATTAAGGGAAAAAAAATGGGCAAGAATAGAAATTTTTTACTGTGAGTAATCCCAAAATTACAACCTCTATTTAATTTTAAAGAGAGAACAATTTTATCCCTCTCTTAAATTAAGAGAACTCCTCACAAAACTCACTCAAGAAAGTACATAGAAGAAGAAGAGATTTTGGTATGTTGAAGAAGGGTGGAAGGGGCTTGTATTTATAGCCCCCTCAACCTCTGCTATTCTATACTCTCACCAAATGGGACTTGCAAGTTCAAACAATGTCCCACTTAGAGATATGATTGAGAATCAATTAATCTCTACACAGTTCTTCCTATCATTCCATCTCCATGTTATCTACATCTTTTCCAGGCCAAACAAAGATTTGCACCATATAAACTTATCAGTGTTGAGACTTTGTCAGTATGTAAGAACCTGCACCGTTAATTAATGAAGTTAATTAATTAATTATGTGAAATTATGAAATAATTTCATAATTAGGAAATAATTTCATAATTAACCCTAATAATTATTATGAGGCTTAAATAATTATGGTAAGTGTTTATTAATTGTGAAAGTCGCT